AATCATATCAATCCATCTCATCCAGGGTCTCCCTGGTGTTCCGTGACCTCTCCTTACTTTACCAAACATGACATCCTTTCCAGGGATTGGTCTTCCCTGATGGGCCCAAAGGGAGCAAGACAAAGTCTCACCATCCTCACTTCTAAGAAGCATTCTGGTTTTATTTCTTCAGAGATTGATTTGCTGTTCATCTGGCAGTCCATGGTATATTCAGTACTCTTCACCAATACCACAATTCAAATCTATCAATTCTTCGATCTTCCTTATTCACTGTTCAGCTTTCACATGCACATGAGGTGATTAATAAGCCCGTGGCTTGTGTCATATGTGCCTTAGTCCTTAAAAATGACATCTTTGCTTTTTCATAACTTTACAGAGGTCTTTTGCAGCAGATCTGCCCAGTGCAATATGTCATTTGATTTCTTGACTGCCGCTCCCATAGGCATTGATGGTGGATCTAAGTAAAATGAAATCCCTGACATCTTCAATACTTTCTCCATTTATCATTAAGTTACTTATTGGTTCAATTATGAGAATTTTTGTTTTCTTTATGTTGAAGTGTAACCCACACCAAAGGCTTGGATCTTCATCAATAAATGCTTCAAGTCCTCTTCACTTTCAGCCAAGCAAGGTTGTGTCACCTATATATTCCAGAATGTTATGAGTCTTCCTCCAATCCTGACGCCACATTGGTCTTCGTATCGTCCAGCTTCTCAGATTATTTTTTCAGCATACAGACGGAATAAGTATGATGAAATGACATAACCTTGCCACACACCTTTTCCAATCTTTAAGCAGACAGAATCCTTTTGTTCTGTTCAAACGACAGCCTCTTGGTCCATGCACAGGTTCCGTATGAGAACAATTAAGTGTTCTGGAATTCCCATTCTTTGCAATGTTACCCAAAATTTGTTATGATCCACACACTTAAATACCTTTGCACGATCAATAAACACAGGCAAACATCTTTTTGTTATTCTCTGCTTTCCGCCAAGATCCATCTGACATCAGCGGTGATATCCCTGGTTCCAGGTGCTCTCTGAATCCAGCTTTAACTTCTAGCAGTTCCTTGCTGATGTACGAATGCAGTAATTGTAAAGTTATCTTCAGCAAAATTTTGCTAGCATGTGATACTAATGATACTGTTCAATAATTTCCACATTGTTTGATCACCTTTCTTTTGAATGGGCACAAATACAGATCGCTCTGGTTGGGTGGCCAAGCAGCTGTTTCCCACGTTTCTTGACACAGACACATGAGTCCTTTTAGGGTTGCATCTGCTGTTTGAACCACCTCAGCCAGTTCTCCATCAACTGGAGCCTTCTCCTTCATGAATGCCTTCAGTGTGGCTTGAACTTCTTCCCTTAGCACCAGCACCCCTCGATCATTTGCTCCCTCTTGGTTGACCTTCAACCAGTTATTTTTGTACAGTGCTGACACCTTACATTCAGAGTCCCAGCCTCCAGAACTGAGAGACAGCACATTTTTGTTTTGATAAGAGCCCTGGTGGTGCAAATAGGTAAGTGCTTGGCTGCTAACTGAAAGGTTGGTGGTTTGAACACACCCAGTGACTCTGTAGGACAAAGACCTGGAGACCTGCTTCCATAAAGATTACAGCCTAGGAAACCCTATGGGGCAGTTCTACTCAGTTACGTGGGGTCCCTGTGAGTCCAGATTGACCAGACAGCACCCAACAGGAACACAGACATAAGTTACCCAGCTTGGGGCATTTTGTTACAGTGGCTGTAGGGGCCTCACACAGCAGTGTAACATGAATGGGACTCAGAGGCTCACCCCACATACACTGTCCTCTCTTGCACTGGGGGATGTAGCCTGGTAACCACTTTGGAAACCTGTTTAACAATGTCTATGCACACTGAACACACACCCACCCCAACTTCTAGGTACAAACTTGATGTCCAGTCACCAGAGATGCTCTCCAAAGGTACATGAGACAATCACAGCTGCTCTGCTCACAATCGCCTGAACTAGAAACAGACCAACACCCAGCAATGCTATAATCAATAAAGGAACAGTCAGCCACACAGTGGAATACTAGACAGCAATGACAGTGAGCATCTTGGACGCCCCTCACGAACATCATGTGCAGTGAAAGTGGCTGACACACCTGAGTACATGCTGTAGGATCCATGTATGTGCCATTCAAAACCAGGCAATCAATCTCTGCTGGTAGAGGTGACAACAGTACCTCCCTTGATAGGACAGAGATGGGTGGGGGCCATGTTCCTTGACCCAGTGCTGGTCACACAGTGTGTGCACTTCCTAAAGATCCCCTGCCTTCAGACTTTCTGACTTGACACATTTCTGCCTGCTTCCTGCACCAGCTCTCCTAACAGAGGAGCACGGTCCAGTCCAGGGGCTGGACTGGAGGAGGATACCCCTCAGTCCATTCCACTCTCCCCCTAGAGTCAGCTCTCACTCCCCGGGACTGAGCCCAGCCAGGGCCACCTGCCCGTGAGTGCTACATGGAATGGTGACTGGGGGTGGGGTCTAACTCTTCTCCTCACCCTGGGCCTCAGGAACATGGATGCTTCTGAATCTATTCACCCTTCTTGCGGCTCCTGAGTTTCTTAAAGGGAAGCTCCCCTTAACCCAGTCCATGTGAATTAGATGGGGCTCGTCAGTCATCTCAGGGATGTACATGTGACTCAGGCCTATCCCAATCAGCAAGGTCCCACCCACTGGCCAGGGTGATTGGGTCATACAATCCCATTCCGCCCAGTAAGAGTCGAGTCCAGGACTTCTATTTGACCACTGGGGAGGGGAGGCGGTCTTCTACTTCGGGACTCTGAACCTATGAGGAGTAGTACCTGAGGCTGCTGGCAGCCATCTTGTCTTCTCTTGGAACCTCAGAATGAAGCCAATATGGAGGGAGCAGGGTGGGGAGGCGGACAAAGGCAGGTGCTGTGACGCCGCTCAAGGCCTGATCAAACCACACCTGAAGCCAGATCACCCCAGCCTTTTCAGGTCCAGGAGTTGCTGAAATTCCTTTTTTTAAGTCAGTTTCACTTGGGCTTCCTTTTATGGGTAACCAAAAGAGGCAAGAATTGCCTATTTCTCTGTTTCAGCCAAGCAGCTGCTTCCTGATTTTATATAATGATAACTGTGCTGATGAGCCAAGTCTAATCCACACCTTGAGCGGCCAGGCCATGGAAATCAAACTTCACAAAGCCTCGACTATTCCCGTGGGCCTACTGTTCTCACACATCCAGGTGACCTGCCTCTCATCTAAGAGGCGTCGTCAGCCCCTCATGAAATTCCACTCAAGGACACAGAGGGAAACATCCCCTCCAAACAGACCGTTAGCCATCAAGGAAACACCAACACTGGACAGCAAGGCTTGTGACGTTCTTCTTTACTGAGCACTCATGACCGGGCCACTGTTAGGTCTGAATGTGTATCTTATTCAGTTCCCGCCACATCCGTCACTGTCACTGCCATCTCACAGATGAGGACACCGAGGTGTGCAGAGTTCAAGTCCGTTACTTAAGGTCACATGGTGGTGGAGCAAGAATTTAAACTCACGTCTGTCTGGCTCTAAAACCCGCACTCTTACAAACCGTCCTAAACTCTCTCGAGTCTTGATCGACCACAGACACCCGCACCCCCAGCCCCTCCTGGTTTATGATCCACAGTCCTCCGATGCATTGAGTTTGTTCCCAGGGAATGTTCCTGTCGTCGGTGTGTAACATACATCTGTGGTCTCCAGCTTTTGTGGGACTTAGGCCCAAATAGTCCAGAATCTGAAATCTGACGTCCACGCTTCAAGGGTGTTCTGGGAACATCACCTGCTCACACGGACTTGCTTTGCTGTGTGCAGACAATCAGCTTCCGTGGGGAGAGGGCAGGAATTTGGGGTTTCCAGGCTGAGCACAACCCCCCGCCCCCCACCAACTGCCCTGATCCCAGAGTCCTTTGCAGCTACCTGCATCTCCCGTTTGAGAGCAGAGTCCTCAGCGCAGTGCCTGGGCCTGACTTCCCAACCTCCCGGGTGCCAGCCTCCCCACCCTCACTCTGCTCCCATGCCGGCGGCCTCCCCTGGCTCCCTTCTGCCTCGGACTTGAGCTCTGCCGGCGCCCTCTGCCTGGGCGTCCTTTGCCCCCAGCAGTGCCATCTCATCCTCAGGTCTCAGCTCGGTGTCACCACTCAGAGGCCTTCCTTGACCCCAACTCAGGCAGTTCCGTGCCCCACCCAGTGACTGCATCACATGACCGTGTCTGTGGGCAGCCCTGGTCATCTGCGCACTTGTAAACCTGTTACACTGTATACCTGTTACATTGTTACACTTGTTACAGTCTGTCACCTTTTTTATTTGTTGGCTTGCTTACTGTCTATCTCCTTCTGCTGGGATGTAACCCCCAAAAGAGCAGGGACTTTGACTTGTTCACTGCGGTACCCCCAAAACCGCTCCTGGTAGAGGAGACGCCCATTAACTCGTGTTGAGCGACGGTGCCTGGTACCATGCCCATCTTACAGCTGCACTCACTCCATAGTCTGCTCTGATCGAAGGGAGGAAGCGACAGACAAGACTTGGTGGGACACTGAAGCGCTGCGCAGCTATTCATGGGACGTAAGGCGCAGCAATGGGAAAGGAGCTGTGAAGGAAAGTCAGAACCTGGTCTGGCCTTAGGCCCAACGGGCACAGAGAGTCTCCCACGGCCGATCACACCAAGTTCTCATTTGTTCCCTTTGGAGCCACAGTGAAACCTGTGAGAGCCGCAACCATCAGTGAAAGAGAACTCACGTATTTTCCACTAGGGGAGAGCCGTAGAAAATTGGTCACACTGCACCCTGTCAAAGGCGGGAAACTTGCAAGACCAGAAAGACAAGACAGTCCTGTTGAGTTCCTGCTTTCCCAGGTGTCACTGTACAGGGGGGCTGTGAAATGCCACCAGCAGATGAAGCCCCTCTGCTCACCTCATGAAGAGCCCCCCGCTGCCCCGTTCGCCCCTCCCACCTACCTGCACGCTGCTGCTTCACTAAACGTGCCTCTGCTGGCCTCGACCGTGCTCCGCCACGTTCTTGGAGGCGCCCTCTGCAAAGAGTATCACTGTCAGGGCTGAGTGTCCGCTCCTGCTCCAGCGCCTGCCACGGCTCACCAGTGACTGCCAGACTAAGCCCAAATACCACGGCCTGGCCTGTTCCCCAGCTCCGCACCTCCCTTCTCCCCCAGATGAGACAAGTCCCGCCCACAGCCTCTTCCCTCTCCTCTCCAGAGCCCCCTGACCCTGCCACTCACCCCTTTACTCACCACACACTCCAGCTGCTTCAGGCCTCAGGATTTTCACACATGCTGTCCCTCTGCCCACATTTCCTTAGTCTTAAGACTCACTCAAGTCCCTTCCTTAGGAAGCCTCCTTGACCCAGTGTCTTCGCCACAGGAGGTCCTATGTGTGACGTGTAACCTTTGTCACTGTTATCACTACTGGTGCTGGCTTTTTCTGTTTAATACTGGCTGCATGACAGCAGGGACTGGGCCTCTCATGGTCACAGCTGGGTTCAAGATCTGCCAGCTTGAACCTTAGCACAGAATGAAGAGTAATGCTTGAGAGACATGTGCTGTGAAGTCTTGTAAAGATATGGATGGTTAGATAGATGGATAGATGGGTGGATGGGTGGATGGGTGGATGAACAGATGGAGGGAAGGAAGGGGGTAGATGGACAGATGACTGGATAGATGTATGGATGGTGGGATAGACAGAAGGATGGTGCCAGCTATACTTCCCAGTTTCCTGACTCAAAGCAGGAGAGACTTAACCGTGTCTGGCCCTAGATTCTCAGGTTCAGCATGAAACCATGTTTATTGTGACCCCCTCTGGCTCACACCTCCTTTCCCCCACCATGAAACAACAGAGTACTTCTTCATTTCCCAGTCCTGGTTTCCATTTCATCCCCTAAGTCTTGGCCCAAGCCGCTGTCTCAGTCCCAGTCTTGGTCACATGTGTAGACGTCCAGCCCCTCCCAGGTCCAGAGTCATGTCTTGATCCCACAAGACCCTCCGTGTCTGCATCTGGAATGGCCCGTGCCCATGTTAGATGCCACCCAGAGGAACGCTTAAGCTGGGGAGAGATTTTCACAAAAGTGTCTTGGACATCGTACCTCCTCAACTCAAACACCACCTGATGTGATGAGAGCGCGTGGGGAACACGGTCACTCCGCGCCGCAGCGCCTGCAGACGCGTGCTCTCAGCCTTTGTAACAGGCTTTCACATTCCTTCTTCAGTCACTGCCCTTCCCAGTGCCCCCTGCAAAGAACGACTTCCTCCCTTACCTGGGTATTCTCTGTAAAATTTATGTCCTAGAAGTCGCGCATCTGGAAAATAAACAAGAGAATTTCTTAGAGCTATGAAGCTCCCTTTTAGGGTGTTGATAAGGCCGGAACGATTTCCCTAACAATGCTAAGGAACTACACGCGTCTGGCGGGCTAACGCGTGCCTGGCGGGCTGTGCGGTCTTCCCTCTCACTCTGGGGTGTGCACAGTTGGCTTTGCAGCAGCTCTGTGACACAGACACCACAGCCGACTGAGAGCAGGAGCAGACGGGACTCAGCTGTTTTCTCCTGACCCATTTACTCATTAAAGAGAATTGTGCGGGTGTCAGTCAATGCCACGCTTCTCACTCTTCCTTTTGGTTTTGGGAAGTACTGTGATTTTTAATGTCATTTCTGTGAAACGTATAAAAACAATGCAATAATATAAAACAGTTGCTATTTTTAAATGAATTAATACATAAATATTTTAAATGTCTCAGCTTTAGTCTTCCAAAAAGTCAACATCCATGTTATAATCCACATAAGGAAAAGCTCTTTAGGTTCTCAAACAGTTTAGGATATGAAGAAGTCCTGAGACCAGAAGGTTTGGGAACCATTGTGTCAACAGGGTATACAGGAAGCAAAATTTCAACACGTTGTTTAGCAAGTATCATTACAAAATTCTTGATAAAGATTAGTGGATGGATGAATAGATGGATGGATAGATTACTCATTAGACTGGTGCATGGATGACTGGATGACTGGATAACTGGATAACTAGGTGACTGGATACATGAATGGATGGATGGACACATTATTGACTAGATAGGTGGGTGGATGGATGAATGGG